AAAAAAAAATGGCAAAGAAATAAAATGAATGAATGCAACTAAATTGGGTGAGTAAACAAATCGTTTCCAAAAATTTTTAAATTATAGTGGACATTCCTAGAACCTAGCATATATACTTAGATGCCAACAATTTGGCAAACTAAAAAAAAAATACCCTAGGAATTCCGACCCTGGCTAATGTAAATACTTATGCTAATATCGTAAAATTAGCGACGGCCTGACTCTCCCGCTGAATCTATATTCCATTGTCTGCTCCTCTGCATTCAGCCCGCCCCCTGATGATGGTTTTCTTCGCTTAGTGCCTTCGAGGTGTTAAACAAGTGTTCCCAGTGGCCGTTGACCAGATTACTCAAATCGGCTGATACCATGCATATGTTCGCTCTCAGTCACTATCTGCTGTTTGGTTTGGTACTTCGCTAAGTTTGCTTAAACTATTTGACTACCACTGGCCGAACCAAACTGTTCCCACTTTTAACGAGGAGATCAGCTGTATTTGACACTTTATTTGTAAACACGGCATATTTCTGCTATCTCGCTCGTAAAATGTTTTCCAGTCTGCAAGTCCGCGAAAAATTGATTATATTTTATATTTTGTGATTACAAATCACCATAAAAACGATTCCACACGCGTTTCCGTCACCCCGACTACGGAAAGGACGCACTGCACACTTCCCGGGTAAGCCGAAAGAGTTTAATCACGTTTGGGTGGCTATCTCCGTTTATATTTTTCGTCTTTCAGGAGCTCCACTTGGGAAGCCGCCAATTCTACCGCGTATGTAAAGCTTTCATTGAACCAACTGCTTAGACATCTACTTGGTTATGTGACTTTTTCTTGTTGTTTTCTTTAACGTTAACTTGCCGCCTGTTTACTTACACACATCTCTACCTAGACATAAATCGGTATGCCGGCTCATGCGTGTATGTAAATTTGGGGATATAATATTGTGCAGCACTTACCTCAAGTTCCAGTTTAGGCAGCAGATCACGTCCTTACGACCCCCGGTATCTCGTCGATCCATTAGCGTTGATCACTGATAACACATGTACACATATGTCTATATCCAAACAAATATATCCTTTTTTTCACAAAAGTTAATTTCTTTATGCACTTTGGTTTACCAAACACAAACTAGCACTCGGTTAAAACAGCGTCAACACCGTAACTTTCACATTTGAAACCGCTTGCCCCGGATCACAGCCATTTTGATTTGTTTGTTTGTTTGCTTGTTTACTTTGTCGGAGAAGAGTAGTGAAATTATTAAACGCGTTTTATGTTGTTTAAAAATAAAATAAAATACATTTTATGTACACAAAATACATGTGAACATTGTATAGATGGTATATTTATAAAAATACTAGCTTTTTCCCGCGGGTTTCACCCCACGTCGGAAGGAATTAAAGGGGTCCTGTGACTTTTGGTTCCGAAGTTATGGCTGATAAAAAATTCCAAGCCTATGTTAAGTGCTACGCCCCTTTTTAAAAACTTATACCTATACCAAATGTCATGTTTATGTGACTTATAGAGGTGTCAAACTATCGATGGTACTATCGATCAGGGTTCGAAAACAAACGAAATATTTCACGAATGATTCGTCCAATCAATTCCATTCAATTCGAATCGTTTTGTACATGAGCAAAACCAAAACCAGTACCTTTGCAAAGCAAAAGAGTGCAAACAAAACGATTTCTGTTTCGTTCCTTGACGAGCATAGGTAGATCGTTTCAAACGATTCGTTTTCTTACACATGAAGAGCGTATACCAGCTATGCCCTTGTGTATGCTTCGTACATATGCCATGTGTGTTTGTATTCATGTATGTACGCAAAGTATGTACATATGTATGTATAGTATACAAAACGCAACAATGAGAGTAATTGCAAAACCAAATACCATAGAAATCATGCAGGAATTGAAACATGCAACTTCTTAGTTTGTTATGCTGTTATGTCGAAATATGAAATTTATCAAACACGACAAAATCTCCATTTACGTTTAAAAACCCGGGTTCTCGAACCTATGCGTATTTAAAAGCCTGTAACTTACTTGAATATCACAACCCTTGTTCAGTTCCTCATCACTTAAGAAAGAAAAAACTTAGACCTTTTAAATAGTGTGTGTCTATACATTTATGTATATCAGTTTATTTTTTTTTACTTTTTTCACAATTTTTCAACTTTGGCGATGTTTTTACGCATTATTTTATAAAGTGAACCTGAATAGCTAAGTTATTCAGCCTTTCTGAAAACGAATATTCGTTTTACTCATAATTAAACGCAATTTTTGAATCAATTCAGGATTAGTATGGTTGCGTCATAAAATCATGCATATAAACAAAGTTGAAAAATTGTGAAAAGAGTTAAAAAAATGTGTTTGCTGGGCATATATACGCAGATATTTTAAGGTTCATAAATTTAAATATATGTACATCATTTGGCCCAAACATCAAGGCCCAAGTTTCTTCTTTCTTAAACGAGTGAGAAACTCGGTTGATAGTCAACAATTACAGGCTTTTAAGTGCGCTAACGTACAAAAAACTGGATTTTTAACCGCAAACCAATGTATTGGGGTGTTTGGCAAATTTCACATTTCGAATTTGGTTTTACTCAGCAAGACATACAAAAATAATAACATCACTTCCAAGGCATTTCGGGGTGGCACGCAAAGTAATAAAATTTGTTTTATGGACTTATTAAAAACCAGTATGAATTATGTAATTTTTATTTTGTGTAATTAATAAGTTATTTTTTTTGTTTTCATGAATGGTTTTTAATGTTTATTTTCTACTTTGATAATAAAATCTTATTGTAAGAAATCATTAATAACCCTTGTTTATTTTAATAGGTAATTTAAATTTGATATTCTAATGTATAGGTAAATCAGAAAAGTGAAGCCCTAACATGAATTTGTAATATATTTCCACAGTATCCACATGGGTTTCTATAGTACATTTTACCAATTACTAAGTTTGCAAATACATACATATATGTATGCNATAATAAAATCTTATTGTAAGAAATCATTAATAACCCTTGTTTATTTTAATAGGTAATTTAAATTTGATATTCTAATGTATAGGTAAATCAGAAAAGTGAAGCCCTAACATGAATTTGTAATATATTTCCACAGTATCCACATGGGTTTCTATAGTACATTTTACCAATTACTAAGTTTGCAAATACATACATATATGTATGCACATATATGCACATTCATATATAGTACATTTAAATACCTAAATAGGTGTTTTCCCAAATTAACCGGCTTTTCCATTTCATTCTTAGTAAGTATGATATCAAGCAAACGTTTGCGAATTATTCCTGCGAATTTTGCCACACCCAGCTGCGCACTTTAGGTAGAACAAAACCCAATTCAACTAGAGTCAATAAGGTTCATTTCATTTATTTTCGACTCTGGTAATGAGCAAATCGCAAAGCAAACGTTTGCGAATCATTCCTGAGGGATGTGTCTCACCTGCGCACTTTATGCTTTTGTTTCGTTTGCACTCGCGCACAAAAGCAGAACGAAACCCAATAAAACTAAAATTTTCTTTGTTTGGGATTCGGTTGTGTTTTGCTCTCTGTTATGAGAGAAACGAAACAAAACAATACGATTCATTTCGTTTATTTTCGAACTCTGCTATCGATAGTATCGATAGTTTTATTTTTTTGCCCCTATCGATGAGTAGTGATAGTTTTTCTCAAAAAAGGTTAAACTATCGATAGTACTAGTTGACTATCGATAGTTTAAAACCTCTAGCACAGCCGATTTTAGTTATAATGTCTCCATGTAGCTGCGCGTCATTTTTTTAAGTTTGTAAATTTTTTATTAAAAGTGATACTTTCATTGTGATTTCTCCTTTAATGGCCGTTTTCTCAAGCAACTTTTAATTGAAAAGCTTTCTTTATATTTAAACGTTGCTTCAAACCAAAAGGCTATGTCTGAAGTAAAGCATTTATATTATCGGTGTTTGACGTTTGCATGTTTCTTGGCTGTAAACAAATCAAAAAATTATATTACGAAATTTAAACAAAATATATCATATTTGAAAATTGTTGTGTAGCAGTAGTTTTGTTGCAGGGCGGAGTGGCAAGTCGGCATGCTCGTGGTTCCTGGCTGAGCTCAACGGCCGGGTGTGGGTTTCTTGCATCCGCTCCACTGTGCCACACTAACAAAAAAATACTCATGCCGATATATGCATTTTTATGTACTTCATAGTTTGCAAAAAACCAACAAACATCCTTACAGCGTCCCCTATACCTGACCTAAGTCTGTCAGTTCGTCTCTCAGTCTCGTCAGGTCAAACAGTCAAGTCATCCGTTCTCACCCCTACATCTCCTCTTGCGGGCAAGCGCAACACCCACACCTAACGTTAAAAATTTAACACAGCATTTTTTTTTCTTCTCGTTCAGCCACAATTCATTGCTTAATTTATTTAATACTCCAAATTTAAAGTTAACTCGACAAGAATAGCAAAGCAAACAAAAAAAGGACAACTTTCAATTCAATAATCCAATTCTTATGCCTACGCGTTATGTGTACGTACACCCTAATACTTAATAGTTAACTCAACAAGAATAGCAAAAGCAAAACAAAAAAACAAGAAAACTTTCAATTCAATAATCCAACAAAAAAAATACCATAAATCAATTCAGCGATTCTAATATTAGCAAAAAGGTATAAGGATAGCATGTACACAAAAATAAACGGGTTTTCGATACCGCGACTCTATTGTTAGGTTCCTATTGTTTCCTAAGTACCTAAGTATGTATGTACGCAGGTACGTATGTACTCGTGGGACCCAAATGGTCACAAGTAAATATGTAATCAATAAGCAAAGAAACCCAAAAAGCAATGCACTCACGTGGCCGCTCCTCCGATGGTGGTACCAGCATGCGGGAGAACCTGCGTGGGAGGAAAGAAAAGAACCGTGAAAAAAAGAAAATACGAAAAGAAATTCAATTGCAAAAAAAACTAGCATAAGTTAGTAAAAAATTTTTTGCCACGTGGAAATTACGCGTATATACGTATGTGTACTAACTGCCGTGCCGAACAAAAAAACAACAACAATGCCTAGTGAGGGTGATCTTATTTATAACTAAATTACTAAAATTAAATTAATGATATTATGTTCTTAAATGCTACGTGTCTGGCCAAGTGAAATAAGGAAAACAATTCAACTATGTATCTGAGTATTGGCCGTACTTTGAATAAAATAAACGAGAGAACGAAAAATTTTATAGAAAAAGATAATCCAAATGAGGCAAACAAAAAAAATGGCAAAGAAATAAAATGAATGAATGCAACTAAATTGGGTGAGTAAACAAATCGTTTCCAAAAATTTTTAAATTATAGTGGACATTCCTAGAACCTAGCATATATACTTAGGTGCCAACAAATGCAGCATCACTGACATGTCTATCCCAGTTACGCTGGTTCTCTTTTATGAATGACCTAATGATCTGTAATACCGATCGGTTGACTATTTCTGCAGCGTTGCCTTGGGGTGAATAAAACGCAGTTTTTATGTGTTTTGTGCCGTATTTCTCTAGGAAACTGCTAAACATGTCGGAAACAAATTGTTTTCCATTGTCAGAATGTATGTATTCGGGCACACCGAAAACGTGGAAAACATCTCTTTCTAACTATTTTACGACGTCAGCTGAAGTTGCCTTGCGCATTGGTTTTAAAAATACAAACTTGGAAAAGTGATCAAGACACACAAACACATACGTATTACCGTCACTAGTACGAGGATACGGACCCATGAAATCTA